TCAACACACAATAATATAATTATTATATTTAATCATCAAACAATCAACCCAATTACCCATCCTCATTTTCGTCTTTATTTCTTAAGGTTTTACCCTAAGAATCAACTATCCTTTATTCATTCATTCCTAAGGATTAACCTAAGGAATTGGCACGGAGTAAATTGCTGCCAAAGTTTATCTATCAAGTACTAAATCCATAGCTATCAGACGCTAACTCCATAGTCACCAAGGTTCACTTAACAGGTGCTAACTCCATAGTCACCAAGGTTCACTTTAACAGGCGCTAACTCCATAGTCACCAAGGTTCACTTTAACAAGTGCTAACTCCATAGTCACCAAGGCTCACTCATACCATCTTTCATTAGACACCAATTATTCCATCTACCCATGTTCTACCCAACATATTTGTAGATCTAAAATACAAATACAGTTTAACTAATTTAGAACCTATATAAAACATTCATTTCACATCGACCTTAAATAAACAAACAATATATAAATACATAACACATATTCCATAGCAAGTACTTCATATTTATGTGTTAGAAGAAAGTAACTACACACTCACACTAAACATATACTTAATACATTCAAACAATACTTGTATTAAAATCATGTTTATGAAAGGGACTATACACTCACTTGATCAGAAGATGGTCGGACAACACTACGACTCTAAGAGTAGTATTCTTTGGTAAAAGTGGAAGATCTTCACACACTGGGCTTCTCGCAAGCAGAGCTTCGGCTCGAAAACTCTTTCTTCTCGGGATCTTTGGGCTTCGGGAATTGATTCGGGTCTCGGGATGATACCAGGGCTTCGGGGGGTTAAAAGAGGGCTTAGAGAGAGTATCGGTAGTGAGAGAATATGGGAGGAGCAACCAAAATCGGCTGGCCCTTGATTTCTATTTATTGGGCCATTTTTCTGGATTCACATCGTGAATCTCAAATATTCACATCGTGCATTCAATAGTCATCAGTGTCATCTCAACTTGCGTCTGTTAGGCTCCAGAAGTCATAAATATTGAGTTCACGTCATGAACACTGTATTCACGTCGTGAACTTTGACAGTTTTGGGGTTTCGCGCCCCGAAGAATTCATAACTTTCGCATACGAACTCCGTTTTCGACGTTCTTTATATCCACGCGTAGGTGAGATTATGCTTTACAACTCTCGTTTAGACTTCGTCGATTAATTTTGAATTTATGTTTATTATATTTTTATTATATTATTTTTAATAGGCCGGGACAGGAAAACTCCGTTAGAAATCCATAACTTCTTCGTCCGACTTCTGTTTTCGTCTGTCTTTTTACCGTTGGACTACTATCGATGAGATATTCGATTCTTGTTTAGATCGTTTCGGCTAGAAGTCACTCGATCTCATATTCGAACTTCGGGTTGCATACTACTAGTGCTGAAACTTCGAAAAATCATAACTTCCTCATATGAAGTCAGATTTAGATGTTCTTTTTATGCATGCTCTCGGTTTAGCGTATTCTACGAATTTCATTTAGATCGATAAGGCCAAATATCGCTCTAACGTAAATTCACTATTTACGTCGCGTTGTGTCGTGTCGGTTCTATCGTGAAACTTCGACAGGTCATAACTTCTTCGTTATAACTCGGATTTCAGCGTTCTTTATATGTAGGGAACCCTTGTAACATCAACTACTACTTAGTTAAGATTTCTTCTTCAAAATAATTTTCCATCAAAAAGTCAGTTTTGATGCTTATTGACCTTAAATTGACTAGCCCTAATGTACGGGAGTTACATAGCAGGATAGTGTGTTGTGAGAGGACTTGTAGGCGGTAGTGAGATATATGATTGATGTTTGTCTATATTATGTACCTCCTTTAAACTTGATTGTTTATATGTCGACATATGGTGGTAGCGGGTTGAGGCGGTCCTACTTTGTGTTGTGGGCCAAGATACCCAATGTGAGCCGACTGTAAGCCGTAGGCATGAAGGCTCTAGAATAATGGTTGGGTTGAGGAGGTAGGCCAATAAACCCTGGGTATTCCAGCCCGACGGATGATTGGACCCGTTGCATGTTGGCATTCCTTTCTGAAGACTGATTGGGCGTAGGCATTCCAATCTGATGATTGTGGGATGTTATGCATGCTTGTATGTTTATCGTATGGGATATTTTGGGGGAAACGCAGTAAGCTTTGTTCTTACCCAGTTTTTATTGTTTCAGGTATCATAGGTCGTCATGGAAAGGCGAAGGTGTGACTGTAGACATTCATCAGCAGCAATGTCGATTTCGCGCTTTAATATTACTCTGAATTTCAATAAATGTATTTGGAATAAACATTTTTCTTCATAATGGATTTATAATTAGGAAGATTTACTTTAATAAAATAAAAATTTTTGGTTGTGAAAATGGGGCGTTACAACAGAACTCAAGTCCATTATTTACGCGAAGATACTTTACCAGCAATCCTGATTGTTTTTCAACTTGTGCTTTCCAATTTCTAAAGGTAGAAAAAGTGTCTCCCTTATGTTTCAATAAGAAAGACCACATTTCCTGGAAAATCATCAATGATATTAAGCAAATCAATAATTGCACCTTTCTAAGCAACTCGAGTTGGTCCTCACAAATCTTATTGGACATAGTCTAGCGGTCATTTTACTGGATGAATACCAATAATAAACCTAACCCGTTTAGCCTTGCTATATACATAGTCTTCATAAAATTCCAAATCAACAATCTTTCCTTCACCAAGTAAACCTCTTCAACCAAATTCAAACATGCCTTGAAAACTCATATGGCCAAGTCGAATGTGCCAAAAATAGGATTAGTCTGGATCAGAAAGAGACTTAGAAACAACATTAGTATTACTTAATATTGTTTGTCCATCGAGAAAATAGAGGTTCGAGGTCTTTCGTTTGGATCTCAGTTTGTCAAAGTCATTTTGAATACCTTAAGAACTCTACCTTACCAGCAAACTAATATCCCTTTTTATCAAATGAATTGACAGATAACAAGTTTCTTCTAAGGTCAAGAACATATCTAACATTCATTATCATTCAGATTACTCCATCAAACATACAGATGGACTGAACCATAACTAACAACTAGATATGTAGAATTGTTACCCATCAAAACACAACCATGGTTAACCTTCTCAAGCGTATAAAACTAACTTTTGTTGTGACATAAATGAACAGTAGAAATGGAATCAAGTATCTATTCACCAATAGAATCCAGTTCATCTGAATAAACTGTAATAAGTTCTTAAATACAATCAACCTCAACAACATTGGCTTCACTCTAGGAACTAGCTTGTTTACCATTTGTTGTGCTTTATCTTTTTCTTTATTATGCAACTTGAAACATTCATCAATCACATGTCACTTCTTATGACTGTAATTTTGAAACTTTCTTTTTACTTTATAATTGGATTTGCACCTGTTGGAAGATTGAGAAGTTTTAACTCTATTTATTGTTCTTCCTTTAGCAGTTAAAAATTCGGCTTTAACATAACTTGAACCACCACCAATAATATGTTTCATCTTCTCTTTTGAATCCAAAGTTGTAACAACTTCATCTAAAACAAGAGTGTCACGACTGTAGATAATAGTATCATGAAGATGGATGTATGATTCGAGCAACGATAACATCAAGAATAAATCCTACTCTTCATCTTCGTATTGAACATCCATATTCTCCAAGTTATTGACCAACTCTTTGAATATGGAAATATGTTGAGCTAAAGAACTTACTTCAATCATCTTGAGATTGAAGAACCATTGTTTTAGGTGAATATTGTTTGGTAGGCTTTTCGTCATCAATAATTGCTCCTGCTTTAACCATAAAGCACTCGTTGAAGTTTCTTTCAAAACATCTTGCAAAACATCATTTAACAAATGCAAACGAATCCGGGATTGAGCTTTTAAATATTTCATCTCTTTATCTTCTTCTGTCTTGAAGCGGGCATCATTTCAAAACTAGAAAGTGTCTTGTCTAAATCTGTTTGAATAAGAACATCTTTCATCTTTACTTGCCATAGTAGAAACCTATTGTTCTGATCCAACAACGGGATATCGTATTTCATCGAGGACATGTTCAATCAAATGATAAAATAATCCCAACAAAGTAATATTAAACATGGAAGCTTTGATACCAGTTGTTGTAAACAAAGATGAGAAGAATGCACTAAAGCGAAATACCCTAATGCATCAAACAACCCTAAAATTTGATCACAAGAAAAACTCTAGTTCATGTGGAATAGGATTAATATATCAAATAATGATCAACCGTATGAAATGAAAAATACCAAGCAAAACACTAAATTAGAAAGACATAGAGATTTACGTGGAAAACCTAAATCGGGAAAAAGACCACGGGCTGGAGAAGCTGAGAAACAATCCACTAAATATTGAAGTCTTTACAGAGCTTTATCAAAGAAATTACAATAAGCTAAAATGGTGATTTGATGATAAAGAGATGAAAGCCTCAAAACTTGTTGAAGAAGTGTAGCTATCAAAAAGGAAGAAAATACTTGCTAATTAGATGTCTACCAAACCTACTTCAAGAAAGTTGTGTTGAATTGAAGCCACAAAAGTTAAAGGTTTGCTAAAATTGTCAAATTTGATCATTCAATAATAAATCATTTGTAAAGTAGTCTGATTAGTCCAAATTAGACCTATAGTCTAATTTAGATATGATTTGTTCATTTTAGACCCGGTTTACTAAAAAAGCAAAATAACTTTTGAATTAAATAAAACTTGTCAATTTAGAAGACACAATTATAAATATAGGGTTGTGTTTCTTATATTAGAGTATACATGAGTTTTTCTTATGAGGGTTTTCACTTAAAATCCCGATATCCTGTTATTTGGTTTTCGTTACTTTAGATTATTGAATCATTAACAATCCATATAACATTAAATATTCTTGGAGAAAACACCTTAAAACAAATATGTAACTTGCAGAGAAATATGATTTTGCAATTACACAAGAAGGGGAGAGAAGATGATTGTTGAACTCTAAAAATAAAGGCTTTTTATTAACATTCAAGAACAAACATTTATTACATCAAATGACACACATACATACATTTTATGCGACAGTTATTTCCTTGAAGCATCACGCCCTTTAATACCAACCATTGCACCCAACTATCATTTAACCAACACCTAATTATACCTAATACTAACAAACAACATAAATCTAAGTTTAGCTTATATTTTCAACAATCATCATACTACTTCGATTGAATGTGTTTTTGGCGGTATTTGATCACCTTATAGTCAGTTTGGTTATTCTTAGTTATAACGAGTTCATCTCCCACAAAGATCATGTCCATCCCAATTTAATTAATGGTTTGGTTAAGATTATTTTTAGCCAGACCGATCACATGAACCTAATTAGCGCAATGATTTCGTTTATGAAAGCATCAGATACATCTAGCTTGATTGTCAATTCATTTAACCATCATGTTAACATATGAATCAATTGATGGCATCTTAGCAACGACGATTGCCCTAACAGGCTTTTTCAAGTTAATAATTATTTCTTTTATGTATGCATCATGTTTTAGCATATTATTTCTTTTTCAAAGAATGTTATTTCGTATTTTAGAATTCTCGTATAAATTCCCTGATTTTCATACATAGAACTCATAACGTATTCTCTACCCATAAGACGTACATAGTATATATATCAACCGACAAGAAAATAATTAACATATAAAATTGTCTGTTGACCTTAATTTATCCTCCTTGATTCTAAAAATCTTTTGCACTTAAATTCCGAAGACGTAAGATAGTGTAGAAAATCGGCATAGTTTGTATCTTTATAACGTTTAGGATTCAAATAGTCAATGAGCTTTGGTGACGGTGTAACATTTTCGTTTACACTGTGTAAGGATGCCACAGAGAGTCTAGACCGCATGGAATTAACTGCAACCCTATGAACCACACTCTTGTACCTTCCATTGCTAAAGATCTGTTAAGTAGACACCCAATGTTATGTTATGACCTTTAAGATACTATCATTTATAAAACATGACCAGATTGCGAAAAGCTGAATACTTGATGAGCAAGAAATTAACTAACCTCAAACTGATCACCAATATTGACAACAAATGAATTAGGAATGGGTTTAACAGTAACCCATCTGTCGTTGTGTTGTATTTGAAGACCTTCAACTTGGTCCTGAAGAAGAAGGGTGAGCAACCCATAGTCGGAATGAGGTGGGAGACCGAGTGTGAGTTCAGGCTGTGGGCATGCAGGGTAATAGTTCACCATGACAAGCTGATTACCATCATTCGAAATCACTTTCTCATCGGTAAGCCCAAGGCTTTCGAGTATTGCATCCATCACCCTTTCATACAAATGTCTGGTTTTCATTGAGTACTCACCCACTGCTTCCCTGTTAGAATATAAAATATCGTTAGAACAAGACTATCAAAGCAGATTGAACTGGTCGAAAAGTTTATTAACCAATGAGAGTTTAGCAAACACAATGAAAAGTAGATAAATATCCAAGTGACCTAATAGGAGTTATATATAAGGAGTCTACTAAAAGGCAGTACGTTTAGGTGTAACTATCACGCCTAAAATATTCATACGTTTAAGTTCAAAAGTTTTGGTTTTATCAAGATTTGAAGTTTAACTAATTCTGTTTTATCTTTGTATACAAGTAGAGTTTTACCTCAAATCAACAGGAGAAGAAGGCCAAAGAGGAGCGAAATCTTGCATGGGGTGACAACTTAGCTTCAAGAAGTCTCTCCAACAGAAGACTCCATCATTATTCTGGTTGAAGCTAGTGCCATATCGAACTGGTTGAGACAAATTATTTGACATGTACCTTTGTCTTTCTTCAAAAGGAAGCTCGAAAAACCTTTTGCTTACGTCCATCATCTTAACAATCACTTCATCTGCAATCCCATGGTTTACCACCTGTATTAATAATGAGCCAAACATGAGCTAAAATCTAACTAAATATATTCAACCGCATTATTCCGAACCATACCTGGAAGAATCCAAACTCTCGACAAGCGTTAGAGAGAACTTTAAGGACTCGGCTTCTGTCCATGCCTTGAAGCTGTCTGAAATCGATAACGGGTAAGTGGATGCAGTCATTAACCACTAAACTAACTGGTCTTTCTTGAGGGGGTAGTATGTACTTGTGTGGAACTTGTGTCACACCGTTCTCGCACAAATGCTTGACCCCTTTCTGGTACATGTGTTTGGGCAGTTCGACGTAGGGTTCAGCTGGTAAAGACATTGATGCAGATGAGAGAATACGTGAGATGGAAATGATACTGAAGTTGGTGATGCAATATACAAAGATGTGTGTGTGTATATATATATATATATATATATATATATATATATATATATATATATATATATATATATATATATATATATATATATATATATATATATATATATATATATATATAGAGAGAGAGAGAGAGAGAGAGAGAGAGAGTTGAAACTTGAAAGAAATGTGGGGTTGACCTGGTTTAGTCAGAAGAGGGGGGAGCGGGTGTGAAGTTACCTCTTTTGGACCGAGTGTACGTTACTTGGGACATCTTCTAGACTTTGAACAGCGATTAAAATGCTCTGATTTTGTATCGGTAAGGATCTTTTGTTTGAACAATAGATGTTCTTAATGTAATTGTTGTATCTGTAAATATACACTCGCGGACTCGTAAAACAAATATGACACTTAAAAACTTTTTTTTTTTTTTTTTTTTTTTTTTTTTTTTTTGCAACTTTTGTCACAATATCCGTCATTGTAAGGGTGACAAATGGATTCGTAACGAAGTTCCGACGGACTTGTGAGGGTCTATTTTACGGATTTTGATGAACTACATTTAATTTTGCACTTTACGGTAAAATTTAAGAGATTTTCCGGAACAAGAAATAAGTCCGCCATAGAATTTTGAAACTTTATCAAAAATTGAAAACATGATCCACGAGTTTCATAATAAGAATGAGTTTCATAATAAATTATACCATCCATATTAATGTAATTAATCCCACTATTTTAGTTATCATCATACAACGAAAGAGAAGACAAATGGACAACAAGTTGCGCCGCTAAATCATTTTGTATGGTAAAGTCAATTCTTTTGAAGACTACATTCATAGATCTAGTGGATATAACATTACTATGCATGATCCATTGTAGTCTATTAAGAAGCTTCACCGTATTCGGCGCAAGGAAACCAAACGTATCAAATGCAAATGGTATGAACACGTGTTGATTTTCCATGCACGGTTTCTCATGTTTGGTGACCTTGCATGTAGTAGCTTTTAATGCAACATGCCCCGCTGTGAAACCTCCATCCCTCAAGCTTACGACAGGGGATCCTGTAAGGTCCACACATGCATGTTTCCCTCTAACTCATCCAAAAATCGAAACGTTAGTCGGTCTAAGGGTTGACCTTCTTTCTGTCGAGTCAGTCATGAAATTTACAAGAGCTTCTTTCTTGGTGGAAACCCCGACACGCTAACATATATCGACCAAAACATCCCTAACCATATCGTGCCTGTATTTGAACCCCGGGAGTTCTTTGCAATGAACTGCATGCTCGCCGAAAGAGTCCAAACATGCCTTGCGACATACCGAACATATCCCATCGGCTGGGAATATAGGAATCATGAGTCGATATTTGAGGATGGTACGATACTCCACCGGAGATATATATTGGCCAAGCCCATCTATAGAGATAGCTAGAAGAAAATCTTAAGCATGTGGTGCACGTAAACACTGGAAAATTGTTTTCTATTGAGCTTTCATATTGAAATTCATTCCATATCTTGGATAATTTTACTAAAAAGGACACTAGCCAATGTATTTTGGGATTTAGGGGGAGCGGTGTCCTTAATAGTAAAACTGCTAAGGTCAATGTCCGGAAGCTTGTTACAAAGAGAATCTAAGGCACAAACATAATCAGAATCCATAGCATAAATGTCGCTATCCCGTAAGATGTGGTCTTGCAATACCCAAGATTAGGCCCTTGAGGCAACAAAAACATATGTGGTAGCCTCTACTGCCGAGTATAAACCCAAACCACCAAACCGAATGGGTAGGGAAGCAATTCGCCACTGTAAGTCGCCAAAGAAGGGGCCTCCACAAACCACAATGTTCTCAATCGCCTGGTGTAATCCATTATCGAAGAACAACGCCCCTCCTCCATGTGAACGGGTTGACACGTCCTCAGCCCAAAGAAAATTTTAGCAATACCCATACAAGACCGAAGTAGAAGGAGCTCACTTTGCAGGTCAGACAATTAGGGAAGAAGGGGTATCAAATTCACAACACCTCCAGCTCTCTTTATGGCTAAGTTGCTAATGAAATTAGGATCTCTGCTAACAGCTCCCCCGAGAAGTTTCACCCCCAATGACGGCATCCTGATGCCAACTGGGAATAGCCCCTCATGCAGCTTCCTTCCATCACACGAGGGCCAAAAGAGCTTGGTATTCTTGATATTCAACTGAAGGCCCAATTTTGGGTCACTAGCCTTAATGATGTCTAAGGCTTTGGCTACCTCCTCAGAATCTCCAGTAAGTCTTGCCATCATCCAGGTACCATGCATGGAGAAGAAGCTTGCAATTGTCTCTAATATTATGCAAGAGCAGGTTCAACATAAGGGAAAATAGAAATGGTCCCAATGGGTCTCTTTGTTGAACTCCAGTAGAAGACCAAATATATGTGTCCCCAAGATATAACCTTGCTGCTTGACCATATAGGAATTCTACCCACAAGGATATATAAGGGAACCTCAATCTGAGCTCATGAAGTAATACGGATTTGTCAACAAGGTTAAAGGCATTGGAGAAGTCCATAGTAAGTATGGAAAGAGAACCGTCATTGTGGTGTTCACTCAACACCCTATTGGTGCTATGTAATACGACTTCAGCGCCACCCGACACCCCGACCCCGAACTGAAAATCATTAAGATACTTGGCCATTTCTTTACCAACACCTTTCATAGCCAGCTTGGAAACCAAACGTCTCCATATAGTTCTTACTACAATAGGTCGTATTCCCGTGTCAGGTTTTAAAAACGGTGTAAGAGGAGCAGAGGCAACAAATTCTACCAAACTCGAAGGGCATCTCCCCCTTGCCATAAATTAATCACACATGTGATAGAACATAGGAGGTCTTTGGCAATTGATGAACCTTCTCCAAAAAGAGCATCTAAAATGTGTTGAGCTCTCAACCCATCTATTCCACAAGAGGTTCCTTTAGGGAATGATTTAATGCCCCCAAGGACATTGTCAATATCAACTATAAGGGGAGGTACTTAACATATGGTACTCGCCATGGATGGTGGTGGCTTGTGTGGATGCTTATCCTCAAATGCCTTCGTGGTAGCATCCCCGTATGGAGCAACCCATGAGGAACATAATACTTTCACTGCTGTTGTGAAATGCCCATCAACAACCTTACGGAGATAGTGTCTGACGTTAGTGTCACCCCGTGTTCTATCCTCCTAAATGTACTCTTTTTTTTTGCCTTGTTGCTCCATCCTTGCATTGTCAACCAAGTTTTTAACAAGCTTGGCTATACCATCTTTTGTACCCCAAGTAGCTAATGCGCTTAAGATGTTACGATGTTGCAAGGACTTCCTATTCCCAGACCTACTTTCTTGACTATTCTTGGGCCTAAACACCTGAAGAGTACATTTAGGTAGAATTAACAATATAACCCACACTTCAATAGACCTGGGATGAACACCAACCTTGGAAAGGGCTGCTTTCAGAGCCTAAGAGAAAGCCATACGATAGTTATGAGGGATGCTTTTGACTGTGGTGATAGGTAGCTTTAACACAAGATCAAGGAGCTGAGCATCCAACACCAAGCCCTTATTGAGTTTGGCATCCGGTTCATTGGGTGGCGGCTTTTAGATACCAACAATATGTCCGATCATGTCACCAACATCACCATTAAATTTGACAAGACCACCTGAGTGTTGACACAAGCGGCTTAGGGAATGGAGACTCATACAATCCCTACATATCCATTGACCAAACTCCTTCAATGTTGTTGCCACTAACATAAACAGCCTAAGGTCTAAAGAAATAAAATCTTACAACACAGCTCTACACGCATTCGTAGAGAGGTGTAAACTCTTGATATGAGAAATCATACGGGATATCCCCTTACCACCCACTTCACCGTTCGGGCAGCAGTGAAACCCCCAAAAAGGACACGGCCAAGTTCCGCTCGCATATATATGAGAAGACGCCATAAACACATAAACAAATCTTATTAAAACCTCAAGGGGAGGCTCGGAATGAGAAGAAAAAAAATCCAAAGTAGGAGTGACACTCCAACAAAAGGTTGGAGTGCACAATTAAAAAGCACCCCAGAAGAGACTCTACATCTTTTTGGGTCCTAACATGACTGAAACACTTGAAAAAAACACCTATAGACATTTTAACGAACACCTGGAGGGCAGAAAAAGAAGTGTATGATTTTCACCAATGAGGCTTGAGAATTTAACCCACATATAATCCCCCACTTTAGTGATTAGATTTTTTTAACTTTTGCACCAATCTTTTTGATTAAATTACAGAGATCCAATTAAGAAATCGGATTTTGATGTACCACTATGGAAACGAGCCGAGCAGATTGGACAAAGAAAGATGAATTGGGGGTTGCAGCAACGACTTTAGTAATTAGATTTTTGAAGTACCACTTTAGTGATTAGATTTTTTATATATCTATATTTTATTTTTCATATATATAGTTTCACAATTTAGTTTTTAGAGTAAATTACTGAAATCGTCATTATGGTTTGGTCAAAATTGCACGTTTGGTCCCTAACTTTTTATTTTTTGCACTTGGATCGTCCCTGTGGTTTAATTTTGTTATGCTATTTGTCCCTTACACACTTCGAGATAATATGTTGTTAAAAATGAAATTAAAATGTTAGTTTTTTTACGTAAAGAATTTAATTCTAAATACATTATATATCTCATCTTATATATATATATATATATATATATATAATATATATATATATATATATATATATATATATATATATATATATATATATATATATATATAAACGTTCAATCGAGAACATTTATTACTGCGAGAACATTTGAGAACAAAAATTACCTTTTAATTTAACAAGATGACAATTCTGTAATTAATTCAAAAACTAGATGGGAAGCAAATAAAAATTTAAAATGCGGGGGGGCAATAAATGCAAAATGAAACTGAATCCTCGTCACATAACTATGCATGCCCCTCAT